GATGGAGCAGGACAAGAGGAAAAGGTCACAGTGTCTGTGGGAAAAGACGCTTGACCTTTGACCTTCTTCTAACAGCACTGAGGTTGTATGATGTATGAAAGTCAAAACACACACACACACACCATCATTAGTCAGTGTGTGTGTGTGTTTGTGTGTGTGTGTGTCTTTCCAGTTCATTTCTCTTCACGCCAATTTATCAACATTCTGCACTCGTCTGTCAGGCTGTGTGTGTGTGTGTGTGTGTGTGTGTGCTATGAGGTTTACAGCGTTAGATTAAAAACAGTGTCTGTGTGGGTCTGCGTGTGACTTTTGTCTAATAACCCTGTAATCCCCCCCCCCCCCCCGCCCCCCATGGCCTGACTAACATGCACCACACACACCCACACACACACACACACACACAGGATCTAACACATGCTTGTGTAAAAAGCGGCAGGAAGGAGAAGCACATGTGGAGTCTTTCCACACACTCTGTAAAAGTGGTCAAGAGTGTGTGTGTGTGTGTGTGTGTGTGTGTAAACTCTCAAACACACACACACACACACACGCAGTGATTGCACACAAAGGCAGGCAGGCGTGACACACGCTACATGGAAAGTACTGTACATGGAGGCAGTCAGTTCTACAGACACATGTGAGGAAGATTAGGAGACAGAGAGAAGGAGAAGTCTGTCCCTGAAGTGGACACACGTGTGCCGTCTGTCCTCCATTACTGCGGGTCATTCCTTTAACCACCAGGACTGGAGTCTAACACGCACTAAACCAGAGCTCCTCCATCACAGCGCCTGGCAGAGAACGCCACCACCGTATACGCCACTACTACCACTACTACTACTACTAGTACTACTACTAGTACTACTAGTACTAGTAGTACTAGTAGTAGTAGTAGCGGTACTGTGGGACCTAGTAGTAGTAGTGCCTGTACTGTGGGAGGACACAGGTCCCTGTGGTCCTGGACCTCAGTCCAGATCTGTCTGGACTCACAGAGATCAGTAAATGTTCACGTCTGTCGTGAGGTTTGAACATTAAAGCTCTTTCATCTTCTTTCTACATTTGTCCAGATCCGTTCATCAGAGTCAAACACAGCACAGAGTCAGTGAAGTCAGGATTCGACTGCTTTGGTCTGATCTTTGTTCACTGATCTCAGACCTGTCTGTATCTGGACTGGTGTCAGTAATCACACACACCAGTTCGTCTGTCACTCACCGACGCTGACGCGGTGCTGACGCGGTGCTAACACGGTGCTAACGCGGTGCTAACACGGTGCTAACGTCACAATCCAGGACAGTCTGTCTGTCAATCTAACGCCACGTACGTCCGCTCTCTGCTCATCCACGAGTTTGTTTTTACGTGACGTCACAACCTTCCACTGATATGACAAAAAAAAAGGTTTTCTCTTGGTCAGAAGACGGAGCCGTACAGTGGTGTTCAAATAAAATGTGTGTGTGTGACATGAACGTCCTTGATGTGTGTGTGCTGTGGAGACACACTCACACCAGAACCAAAACACCACGGTCGGAGCCAACTTTACAGGGAAACAGAAACTCCGTGATAAGACTGTTGGTGTTTACACTGTTGTCACGCAAACTCCCCCTACAGGGACAATAAAGTAAAACATTCAAACGCTCCTGACCTTGGTTTGTGCCTGTCAACAGGAAACCGCTGTCCCACTCTTTCTTCCATTTCTTCCATCCAAGACACAAATCAATCAAACAGCAGATGGCTTCAATGATAATAATGATAATAATAATAATAATAATAATGATAATAATAATAATAATAATAAAGATAATAATGTGTCCAGAGGAGTTGAATTAGTCAGTCAGCTTTGTTTCTGTCAAACTGTCAGTGCAGTTGACTTCACTCTGATCATGTCAGACTGTTGTCAGACTGTTGTCAGACTGTTGTCAGACTGTTGTCAGACTGGTTTATTTCTCAGTCCATTTCTGAGACAACAAGCTCTAAAAACACTTCATCAGGATTCAATCAGGAACTGGCCACTCGCAGACTTCTTTCTATCTCGATTGTTGGATTTTTTGCGTCTGGACTCAGCAGAGAGTTTATTGGACCAACATGGTGCAGCCTGTGACCTTCATCTAAGCAGATGAAGCCAAATTCATCCCAATTTTATGGCTGAGAAACGCAACAAAGGTTTGATTTTCACTTTTGAAAGTTGCATCTGGGATTCAGGTGTCGGTCGGTGACGCTTTCAATAAAAAAAAGGAGAAAGGATTGAATAATGAAATCAGCTGTAACCATGTGTGTACCACGTGGTACATGGTACACACACGGTACATACATGGTTACAGCTGCACCACGTTTAGTATTTCCCTCCCTTTACGTCCTCCAGGTGGCGTTTCTCCAGGAGACGGTCAGGAGGGAGTGTCAGGAGAGGGAGGATCTGATCGCTGCCCTGTCCAGAGCTCAGGAGCGGCTCCTCGCTCCTCAGGACTCCTCCACGTCTCCTGACACCCCCACAGGGAGACACGGGTCCCCGGGGAACAGGACTCTCCACGTCCTTGGACGAGACCGAGTCCTGAGTCGCTCTGGGACTTCTCCAAACACACTCCGAGCCTCTCCAGCCTGGTCGCACACAGATGGAGGAGGCGCAGGCAGCGGTTTACGGCCCCGGAATGACGGTGGCCTGTTAGGTGGAGACGAGCAGCAGGAGAGGACGCTGCCCAAACTGAAATCAAACAACACTGTGAGAGAGGTCAAACCTCAGGGGCGGGGGCCGGGGGGGGCACTGAGGATGAAATAAACCTAAACAAATGTTTTTAAATTTTTTTTAAAAGGGGGGGGCACTGAGGATGAAATAAACCCAAACAAATGTTTTTAAATTTTTTTGTTGTTCTATGTTGTTCTATTGAAGAAGACCTGAGATGAAGAAATCTGCTAAGAATAATTCATTAGCTTTATAAATTCAGAAAATATAAATACATTTTTTTCCCATGATCCTTTTCTATTGACTCGTGCGGAGCAATTAATTTCCAAGAGTTCACTGAGGGCCTTGTTTTCAAGGCAGATAACGACGTCGGTTTCTTGTGTGTTAGTGTTTGTTTCCAGGGCCGGGGTCTGGAGGGAGCGTGTGATGATGAAATGACAGACGATCCTGGCTCAGTGCTGTTAGAGCACCAGCCTCTCAGGACAGCCCTACACACACACACACACACACAGTCTCACTGGCACGCACAGGATCCTACAGACAAACACCCGAGCACGCACACACACAGCCCGTCACAAGGGCGGCGCTGAAGACCACGACAGCGTGTCCTCAGCCGCTCATGGACACAAACAAAGAGAAAGAGTGAGACCGACACCGTTCTCCAGGCCTCTGCCCTCAGGCACCCTGTGTTATTGACATCTCTCACTCCGTGCAAGGTTTTCCCAGCCCTCCCCCTCCTGAACTAGTTTGATGGGAGAATGTGTGGTGTGTGTGTGTGTGTGTGTTTGCTCGTGAGGTGAAGTTATTCATTTCCAAAACTTACTGGCACACATGGAGGCCAACCCCCCCCCCTTCCTCTCCCCCCTTCGCTTTTTTTCCCCGTCCATCTGCAGGACAATGCCAACCTCTCTTCCTGCTGCAGACTCACACACACACACACACACACACACATGTTGTTTACACCTGTGTGAGGCTCAGACGTGGAGATGATTCCAGCGACGGCCTCTGTTTTCACTCTGACCAAATCATTTGTTTTGTGAAACAAAACAAATTGCCTGAGGTTTAATCTAAATGTTGGCTCCAGTGTCGTCGTTGCTGCTGCTGCTGCTGCTGCTGCTGCTGTTGCTGCTGCTGCTGCTGGTTGGTCTGTTTGCTGAGTGTCGCTCCTAAAGACATCAGTCTGAAAACCATCAGAGGAATTTCCTCTGAAATCTTTCAGATTCTGTCGGCTGCTGACGCCTGTGGCCTCCCTGTGTTTGAATGCTGGTCTGTGGCCTTGTGTCTGTTTACCCACTGCGGCACACTGACGTGTCTGTGTCTGTGTGTGTGTCTGTGTGCCCATCTGCGAGAGCTATTCTAGTGGGCACACTTTGTATAATACTGTTGTTGTTGTTGTCGTTGTTGTTGTCGTCATTGTTGTTGTTGTCGTTGTTGTCGTTGTTGTTGTCGTCATTGTTGTTGTTGTCGTTGTTGTTGTGGTTGTTGTCGTCGTTGTTGTGGTTGTGGTTGTTGTGGTTGTTGTTGTTGTGGTTGTGGTTGTTGTGGTTGTTGTTGTTGTTGTCGTCGTCGTCGTTGTCGTCATTGTTGTTGTTGTTGTTGTCATTGTTGTCGTTGTTGTTGTTGTGGTTGTGGTTGTTGTCGTCGTCGTTGTTGTTGTGGTTGTTGTCGTTGTTGTGGTTGTCGTCGGTGTTGTCGTCGTCGTTGTTGTTGTGGTTGTTGTCGTCGTTGTTGTGGTTGTGGTTGTTGTGGTTGTTGTTGTTGTGGTTGTGGGTGTTGTTGTCGTCGTTGTTGTCGTCGTCGTTGTTGTTGTGGTTGTTGTCGTTGTTGTTGTTGGTGTTGTGGTTGTTGTTCAGGTCCTCACTGAGAGGTTCAGAGGTAGAACTTCATATACTGCACTACTACATCCTTTAAACAGCTTTAAATGTTTATTGGTAAAATAATTCAAATGTCTTGGTGTGGAATGTTGGTGCTCACAAAACACTAAACCACTGTGTGTGTGTGTGTGTGTGTGTGTGTGTGATTGTTGCCGTTCAGTCATTGTCATCACGTCATTACACTAAAGGCCATGGACTGAAGGGTCACGACCCCCGTGTGACTCCTCATAGGAGGAGGAGCCCGCTGATGATTGACAGCTCACGTTGAGGAGCGTCTGTTGATTAAAGGAGAGTTCAGTCAAGTTATTCCATCAAAGCACAGGTTGAAACAATAACAACGAGAATATGAAGAATGAAGTTTGAGGTGAGGCTTCACTGGAACTGACCAATGGAATCGCCAGACGCGCCTGCTTTCACTTTAATTGATGGGGACGATTCCAGACAACGTGCGTCTGTCTTTGACAACACTCGTTCCTCAGGCAGAGGCTCCACTGACCTTTGACCTTTCCTTTATCGCAGCAACACTTCCGTCCAACTGTGAGCCGTCTGCCTGCTTTGTATGTTGAAGATAAGTGTGGTTTTATGAGCACAGCCGACACACACACACACACACACACACCGGCAGCAGCACTGGTCTGTAGTCACAGTAAAATGAGCTGACGTGTCCTGTACACTGGGGGGCGACAGTGAGGGGTCTGTGTGTGTGTGTGTCACCCTCACACGGCTAAACAGCTGCAGCTAACTCTGAAGCTAACTGCTACGCTGACTCTCTGCCCACTCCTCCACCTTCAGCTCATGTCGTTGCTATGTGACACTTGACCTTTTTTTTTATGTGCGTGAGGACAAGATTTGACCTTAACTGTAAAAACTGTCACAAAACTGACCACCTTTTCATCACTCGGTCGTGTTTGACTAACTCTCTCCCCAACACAAACGTTCATATGTTGCAAGCACGCCATGCACGAACACCTGACAGTGATCGCCTCGCTGTAATTATCATAGCAGGGCAGGCGTGCGCACGTGTCCCTGGGGAATCTGTGGAAGTTTCTCGTAAACACACGCTCACGCTCCAGGGAGTGGCGTGTCTGTGTGTGTGTGTGTGTGTGTGAGAGACTATAACACGGTCCTTGTTTTCGTCACTGGGCGTCCCTGGACGCCCCTCTCCTCCATGGTTAGGGTTGTTCCGGAATTCTGCCGTCCCGTGAGCACTCCCACACCCTGTCGTTTGTGTCACCCGGCCTGACTGGAGAAAGAATGCTTCACATTCTTGTCATGGTGGTGACTGCGTAAATGCAGGGGCCAAAAGTGCTGGTAGTAGGTGTTGGTGAGTGACGCAGACAATGGACCTTGTGTGGTGTAATAAGAAACGTCAATGTGTTGGTTACTGCCTGGAACAGTCTTACAAACTGCTCATGAACGGAGAACAACAGTAAACATCAGGAAACTGTGGAACCATTTGGTGTGTCGTGCCCTGATCATGAGGATAGGTCTGTGGTGCTTTTAACTAGGGCTGTCAACTGCTTCACTAGTGAAATTAATTAGATAAAAATGATAAGGCGTTTTTATGTCATGCCCGGCTGGTGTCAGACCGTCCTCACCAAGCGGTTTGTCAGTTGTTCTTGTCAAATATTTTACATTTATTGATAGAGTTTATTTATAGAAATGATTTGTGACAGAACTTTAGTCGAGTGAATTTATTTTCAAAGTCAGGTCATGTGGAAAGTGACAAAATCACCTCTACAGAGATGTGGTTAAGCAACGTAGAACTCAGTCAGGTGTTTGATTTGGGTTTTTTTTCGTGGCATATTATGCGATTTGTTTTAAATATTTGATCTGATGGCGGTGATCCTGTAATCCAACAGTGTAATCACCAATCATCAGCTCATTGGTGGAACAAAGGCACGGTGAATAATTGCTCACAGAGCTACCACCTTTCACCCAGAAAACTCCACAGACTCCATTCGTCAAGTGTCTGGATCCCTCTGCTGTCTGGAGGTCGGAACTGCAACGCCTCCGGCCACAAACTGAAACACGAAGGCGGAACGGTTAAGGGCACACAATGTTCTCCGCACCCATTTTTATTACGCTGTGCCTTTGCGCCACAATAGAAATGAAATGATTTGCCAAATTAGGTTTGTTATGTGTTAAACTGTTGTTGATCTACTTTTCTGACGCCTAGGTTTAAATGTTTTTAAAGAACGTTAAACAAACAAGTAGATGTAACACGCTTTATATAACTAATAAACCGTGTATTTTACAACGTACATTTTAATATATGTTGGGTTGCTGCTGTAAAATGTGTCTATCTTTTTTTGTCCTTTATTTTTTTTTTTTAAACGGCGGATGAATATGTTCCTGAGTGAGAAGTCCGGACATTCCGGTAAAATACGTCACTTGATAGTTTGTGTTGAGTCACTTCCGTGAGATTTCAAGAACTACACTAACGGCAATAAACGAGAGCTTTTTTGTTTTGTTTTTAAATGTTAGCTACATCTATATTTTACTTCCTGGTGTAATTACGAGAGCAGTATAATAAAAACACACACCTATTTATCAATTTGAAGAATCGGAGAAGATTAAACCAACTGAAAAATATTAATCGATATTAAGATATAATGGAATGTGGGGAGATGGTCGAAGTAAGATATACGAGGAACTGATATTAAAGAAATAGCAATATTCTACGTCTGTGTGAAATAGTTTTTGTTTGTTTGTTTATTTAATCCCTGTAGTGAAAGGCCTGTCCACTCTTAGCTCACCTTGGAGTTCTATAAGCTTGTCACATAGTTGTGTCCCAGCATAAACAACCGTTCTAGTTGTATATAACCTACTGCAAAGGTTCAATAGCTTGTTATAGCATGTTAGCCACTCACTTCTTGAGTGTTTAGGAACTTGGTTAACTAGAACACATCCGTGCCCAACACTTAAGATACAGCGATGAAACATCGACGTTGTTCAAGACAGACGCTTTATTATAAAGTAAGTTTTAATCCAGTTGAATGCAGTGATGTAACGTTAAAATGGTTAGCAAAAAAGTCAACGGTCCTTTGAAGTCAAACAGAATCACAAACACTACGAACCAAACATTCACTTCTTAACTATTTAGACGTCGATTTTCTATGCTGCGTTTTATGGTGATTTACAGGTATTTTCTGTTTTTGTGCTTCCAAGGTATAAAACTATTTTCTTCGCGGATGTGCACAAACGTAGACCATGCGCTTTGTGTTTTAACGTGCCGGTGACGTCAGTAGCTCATCTCGCCAGTCACCCTGCTTAACCGTCGGTCAACAGGCTGAGCGCTGCCTTGTGTTGCTTTTGGGTTTAATATGGCCGCAGGTCCTCTTTCTGTATCGTCCAACGCATCCGTAAACAACGATGGTATTCTTATTGGTGACAAAGTTTACTCTGAAGTGTTCCTCACGATCGACAACTCGCTCGTACCGGAGGAAAGATTGTCGCCGACGCCGTCGATGCTCGACGGCCTTGACTTGAACACGGAGACCGACCTTCGCATCCTTGGATGTGAACTCATTCAGTCGGCCGGCATTCTACTCCGATTACCGCAGGTATGACTTATTCTGATTCCATAGTTGCCATACATAATTTAATATTTTTTACCTGCAATACCGTAGGGATATATTTTCCGTCTTTGTTGTGCCTCGGCCTGGCTGTTAGCGGCTAGTAAAGTTAGCGCTTTGGTGCTGGCGTGGTGGAATTAAAATGGCGGCGTTTTGAAAGGTATTATTCCTTAACTATTCAAATGTAAAATATTATGTTTTTCTTCCCCACAGGTGGCTATGGCAACTGGACAGGTGCTCTTTCATCGTTTTTTCTATTCCAAGTCCTTCGTTAAGCATAGTTTTGAGGTACGTTTTTTTTACCAGGCCGCTCACTGCTGTTGTTAGCATTGCAAACGTCGTGGCTGCGTTTCGGGGCAGCCATGTTGTCGCTCTTCCCCGCACGGGGGTTCCCCCCGGTTTAAACCACTTTA